GTAGTATTTTAGTATTGTTAGTAACAACCTATCTCAGCTAACAAATAATGGGTAGGGTCTACAGCCTGACTGACAGCCCAATTCCCATATCCGGGGCACGGGCGGAACAGCATTACATATCGCAGTACGACTGTGTGAATTATTGTATCCAAAGATATGTGTATAATCTTTTGATCTTTCATTTTTATTAAATTCAACACAGGAAAGAAACGTAAAACGTGGAACAACCCATGAAAATATTGAATCATAATAACGGTACATTTGTAAATAATATGGTTTAGTAATAACAAATTACTAACAAATAGAATGCATGGATGTCTATTAACATAAAACAACGTTCTTACCCACATGATTTGTCTCATTAACCTCGATGTTTCTCCATTTTCCCTAGTGGAAATATAATTTTCAACTCTATTAGAAATATATGTAATTAAGAAAAAAAACTAAAATTGAATTTTTAGCTAAAATAATTTGGAATCATTGACAAATGCTACATTTGTTTAAAGTATGGTGTACTAGCTATGAAAAAGAATGTAGAACTGTAGCAACAAGCATTACGTTGGTATTTTTGTTTTCAGAGGGAGAAACACAGATCATGAGGATTCTCTTCATCACAATTGTTGGATGTGCGCTTCTTCTTTCCGTCAGCAGTGAAGGTCAGTTTTATCCAGCTAAAGACATCTTTTATCGTAAAAGGATCCAAGAAATTTCAGAACATTCAGACATTGTCTAGCTTACAAATATAGAAGGAACCATTCTAAGAACATATTGCGTATATTGTAAACTTACACTTTCATGTAACTTTGAATATTTACAGCTCTTTATCATGTTCAACTAAACCGTGTAACTTTGATCGTATTAACGATTGTTAGCTTTGATCATATAAATAATTACTCATTGCGATCCTTCATTGCACCTTATAATGTGAAACGTATTACTAATCATGATTATATACAGAACATTAATGCTGACTTTGATCCTATTATATCTATGTCTATACTGTAATTATCAACTTAACCTGTCATGTAACTTTAATTATGTTAACCAGATCACTCATTGTTGATATTTACCGAACCTGTCATAAAACATCTGGAACCTAATATGGAACCTATTAATTATTGACATTTTTACCGAACATGTAATGCTGCAAAAACCATACGTTACATATCACCTCTTATTATTACAAACTGCACTTATTATGTTTATTTTGTTATACATGTATATAACAGGTCATATGATAAATAGAACCATTTACGTAACTTACATGGATACAACATATCCCTCATTATCAATATAAACCTTTCATGTAACTTTTATTAGGCCACACCGACTTAATTTTGTGGATGACATCCGCGCGCGCATTGATTTTCGTCTGTTCTCAAAAAAAAAAAAGATCACGTCATCCGAAGCTTTGGCCTGGGTAGTCCATGGTAGCTTGCTATATAGCGACGATACGGAGCCGGTGGTAACTCTAGAGGATGGCACCCAGGCTACCAAAGCTCCAAGACTCAAGACCTCAGTACATACGTACAGTATCCATTCAGGAATTCGAAAAAAGCCAGCATGTGCCGGCTTGTCGTATACGTCGCTATGTTCTGCCGCAAATTCACAATACCAGCTTTGCCTTTGTATTTCTGTGGTTTAGCAGCATTTTTAGTTTTGGACGGAATTTTTTCTATTCGCTTGCGCGCACTAGTTTGGGGGTCTTCGGAGGATGTCATCCATAAAATTAAGTCGGTATGGCCTTATCCCCAACTCATTGTTGTCTACCTGCACAACATACACAGCTGACAGTGATAAGAAAGAAGCAGATGAGGCAGGAAATGAAGACGCCAGTCTTCTCCAGATACTGGCTGGTAATGTATTGATATATTCTGTTCCATATGTGTAAAAAAAATAGATATAGGCTATAGTATCCTCGTTACTATTATGTGTTTAATGCTAATAGAATGATATAGGCTACTATTAATATGTGTGTGTGTGTGTGTGTGTGTGTGTGTGCGTGTTTGTGTGTGTGTACGCTATAATATTCTCGGTTCCATTTGGTGTGTATACATAGATATTATATTCTAGGTACCATTGTGTGTGTATATATAGAATACAACACGGGGTATTCCGTATCGCCCGAGGTCCCAGCCCGACCGCGCGTCGGATCGCCCGACGGCCGAAGGCCGGAGGGAGATCCGATCCGCGGGAGGGCTGGGACCGAGGGTGATGCGGAATACACCGTGTTTTATTCTATTTATGTCATACCCACCTAAGAAAACACGCCTTTCAATGCAAAATGAGTAGAAAGTTGGTGTCCCTAAACCCAAAAAGTGCA